CATGGCTTCACTGAGTTACACAAGCCCCTTTGCCACGACAAGGCAGTGATCCATGAAGGGGGTATTGATAGCTAAAGCTATAATAATACAAGATGTTAATGCCATGATTCTCAGGCCAAGCAGATTCTAGAGAAACTGCAGAATGTTTTGTCGAAACATAAAACACTTGCATGCATTTGACACTGCTAAATACTAAACCAGACCTGATTTGTTTGTTTGTTTTTGGCCTTGCCTACAGATGATTTGTGGTGATTTACCTCACCTTCATCTGGCCTTACCTCAAGATACCAAGGACAGAAACTGGGACTTACTGCACGCAAACTCCATTTTCTGCAACGTATTTCCATTCCTGCTGAACTGATATCACTGGGTGTTATCCCAAGCTTTGCACTCCCAGGGAGTTAATGTCTAATTATCCGTATGTATGACCTTGCCTGCCTCTGCCCAGTTAAGTCTAGTTCCAGCACCTGCCATTTTAAGGCATCTCAGAAAACATGGCTTTGCCATCTGGCCTGGGGATCTGGTAGTGGTGGCGTAGAGCCTGCAAAATGGCTGTACTGTTAGTGAGACTGATTGCACTCTCCCGCAGGTTATGTTTTTTTTTTAATGGTTTGAATACTTTTTATTATTTTAATGTTTTTTAATGATTTTTGTGGTTATTTTTTGGTTATTTTGTTTTATTGTTTTGTGTTGTAACTTCGAATGCTGCTCAGAGTCACATATGTGAGATGGGCAGCTATGTAAATTTACTAAATAAATAAATCTGCTGGAGCAGGCTTCTTATCTGTTTGGTCAGCTGATCCATCAGGTTATTGGATGGTAGTGGCTGGGAAGTTTTAAGTTTCTCACAGTTCCTCAGAAAGTCCCACAAAGTACTGCTCAGGTGTATTACAGGAAAATTTATTTTTTGCCCTTTTCTGCTTTGTAAACTCTAGCTTAGGAAGATAACATTCAGCACATTGCTACTGACTCCCTGGAACCTGATATAAAGCAGAAGCCTAAGCAACAAGGAAGATAGCCAATCCTTTGTCAACTTCTGAGAACTGAACAAGTTTCACAATGGGAAGAAATGAATTTAGATAGAGTTTTAATCTGAAAGGACTGGATGTCATATTTCTGAACTTCAGATTTGGTTGCATGAGGTCCTCAAGCCTGTTACTGATCATGAGCATCAATTTTCAGGAATTAAGAACCCTCAGATAACATTGCCCCTAAAGGTGGCTGCTGCTG